GTCAAACCAGAAAGGCTCAGACACTCCTAAATKCCATAAAATATTCACCTTTTAAAGATACTCAGTGTCTATTTTAAAATGTAGTGTCTGGGGAAAGAAAAAAAAAAAAGAAGTCTGAAGAGTCTAGTGCAAGGCAAGAACTTTATGGAAAAGATTTTGGGGGGGGGGACTTCTTATTATCCCATGTTTTATCCTTCATCTCTGTATTTTAATTTCACCTGTTACTACATGTTAAATGTAACACATAAAAGCCTGGAAAATATTTACATTTAATTGTCTCCTGCTTGAATCCAGTGAGTACATTGGAATTCAGGAAACCACACAACTCATTTGTACAACTACATCAAAGCTTCAAACCAATCTATACATTCTGCCATCATGCTGAATATTATGAATTTTCAGTACTAGAAAGAAGGCACCTATTCTATGGCATCAATGCCAATTACTCTTCACTCTTCAACTACAGCATCACAATAAATTTCCTGATTCCCAATTAACAAAATACAAAACCAAAATACAATACTCCTCCACATTATTATGTTTAAAGAAATAAAAAGTAACAAAAAGCATATTTTGTGTGGATGTATCTGTATGCGATATTGAATGTTCTATTGCAGCTATACAGGTCAGCTGCCTTACTCACCTCAAACCAAAGCAATCACAGATCTTAATGGATATAGGAATTAACTAAAAACATTTTAAGCAAATTATGTATGAAACATACATAATGCCATCCTGTTAAGACCCAATCTTTTACATGAGCTTTATCCAGTCTGCTGCCTAGCTGACTAGTAATACAAATTATTACATCTGCACAAACCAAATGAACTACACTAGGAGGAATCTGAATGTAACTGCTCTGTTTCACTACCTCCAGGGTGCCTGCAGGTTTCTGTGCCTGTACAGCTTGTTTRTTTTCCTCCCTTTCCTCTTTCTTCTGTGCAATATCCACACAAGGAGTGATCCGCCTCTCACGTAGCCCTGTGAACACTAGTTCTCATGGTAGTTTAGCCCAAGCTGTAGCAGAAGTGAACTCCTGGCAAGACGAGCTTCAAATACATTGACAAGAAATAGCTGTTTGATAATCTTATACCATGTTAGATTAGAGTCTTTCATAAAACACAAAGATATACATTATTAAAAAAAATCTGTAAAACAGAGAATATTTTTGTAATATTCAAATCAGTTAAAACTGTAATTATCTGGTTAAAAAAGGAGTTATGGTCTGTTGCTGTCAATGTCAAGAGAATCTCAATGGCTGTTGTGAAAGATAGATTAAAATTTTAATTCTGGGAATGAGATTAGCAAACCTGACTGGGTGTAAATGACCAGGGGCATTTTTAAGTTTGTTAACACCAGCAATAGAAATTGATAGTCTGTGAAATATGAGACATTTGGATCTCTCAAAAATTCACATGTGAATGAAACAATTCTCACTGCCTCAAAATTAGACAGACAGGAATTCAAGTAAGATACCAGGAAAATTCAATTTGCTTTAGCACAGTGCCACTGCTACTAAAATATAATTTGTGTTTGGTCAATGGGCACCTTAAAACTATCATTATGGTCCATTAGTAATTTGTAGACTGCGTTGCTGGGCTAAGAGCCTAGTAACTTGCAAGGTTTTGGTCTGTGTTAAGAAATTCTTAGTAAGCCAGTGAAATACAGGCTGTTCTAATCTCAGTGAAGTGGTCAAAGACAAACGGCTGTAAAAAAAGGCAACACATTTATCACTCCTTACATCACTTGGAGTGCTCTGCAAAGGAAATAAATGTTTCATAGGCAGTGGGTGACTTAATATGCTTCCTGATAATTTCTTCAAAGGCTTGATTCAAATAAAGTCATGCTGTCCATTTTAACTTTAGGAAATAAGACTGACTTCGTATTTTTTATTYTGAAAAAAAGGCTTCTATCATAGGAAAGCATACTTTAGAAAATATTATTATAAAACATTCTTTAAAACTCCAGTTACATTAATACATAGATAAATCTATCATATAAGGTCAAATATTCATAAATGTGTAAAAAATATTGTTTTACTACATTTAGAATTAGCACTATTGCCTATTATGGCAACTCAGTATTYACCGTCTACAGAATATGTTTACTGGGCCATGCTCAACATTGGTATCAGTGGTGTTTAACAAACTAGCAAGTCACTCATGTTGCTACAATAGAACATTCAATATCACATAATCATCACTGGTGTCCAGCACTTCATCACTGTCCAGCACTTTAGTTTTTTCCTAGATACTTCCTTGTTTCCCTCCCATTGTCAGCTATCTTTTCCCTCCATTACAGTCATAGACACCTGAGCTCCGTTGAACATAGCCTTTTTCCAAAAGGAAACTGTGTGAGTAGAACATTTAGATTTTCGACTTGCTTGCAGTTTCTGCATGTTTGGCTGTAAAAAGTGGCAGTTCAGACTAACCTCGAAAGGTCCATAAGAGCTCGCCATGCCCATGCTCGCCATGCCCACTGCACGAGCTCAGAGCAACTCTCCTATCCATGTGCCACATAAACCACCCGGGCACAAACAGCACAGTGTGCTCTGCATTCACCTAGGCTTGCAGGCAAAAGCCATCCAAATGGAGCATGAGCTATAGGTCTGAGATCCCACATCCTCCAGGTGTGTCTATGCTGACGCCTTCATACCTCAAAGATATCAAACTAGCGCAAAATTTGCAAGACTTTAAAGCAGGCTAAATCAACATACCTTCTTGTCCCTAGTTTCTATTTAAACTGCAGTGTTTTCTGTGAACAGACTTTCACCTAGTTCTTTTTATATGCATGAATTTATGTTATTCCTCACGGCTGCTGCTGTGTCACTGCACTCTTTGCAGCACTAGCAAAGTGGTTTCTCTGGCTCGGGCATGATAAAATTCTGCAAAGATGAATTCTAAGAAAGGAAGCTGAAAAAGAGCTAGATGGGAAAGTTCTCATTGTCTTCCTCCAGAGACCACACTGAAAAAGGGACTCTTAGAAAACAGACATACAACAAGAGCTCTCCTGGTTAGATTTCAAAATAAATGTCTACAATGATCTAAAGCAGCGTCTCTTTTAGTCTGACACTAAAGCAGGSCATACATAATGGGCTGTGTGCTCTTCTTAAGCCACAGGTTAGAACAGCCTTCACAGCCCCAATAAACACTGCCTTTTGTATTCAGAATTTAATCTTTGAAGAACAGTACTGTTGCTAAAGCACAAAAAATCAGTCATACAAATAGGCATGGGCGTGAGACAATACAGCGTGCCGAGGAGACGGGCGATGGAAGCCAGCCAGGCCTCCCTGGCCATGGGAAAAGGAGCTCAATGGGGCACGCTGACCTACAGCTGCTGCACCAGAGCCTCGAGGCGAGACCGGCATGAGCAGGGCCTGCTCGCTGCACGTGGGTACAGTATGTGCATACAGCAGGAGGCTTCTAGGTACTGGACATATGCACAATGTATACAGCACCCTCTCGGCATTGCTCYTCTGCGCCTCAACTGGGAAATGTCCATGGAAAACCCCTTGGATGGGAGGCAGTAAACAGTCTATGCTGACCCTAGTGCACCTGATATTGGTGTGTCTGAYGCAGCTGGGAGTCTAGGCATTGCCCCTGTTGTATCCCTTTAGCAGGTTTATTAATTTGCATATGTTATTAGGCTGCAGGTATAAATCAAATGCTAGGAATTACAAGAAAGCTTGAAGGACCAAATCAGACAGAAGAGGTATTGGGGGGGTAGGGGGCAGAAGGAAAAGAGGCAAGCAAGACTATCACATAGTTGCAATTCAAGAGCAAATGAAGTTAAGATCCTTGCACCTGTAAAAGATGCAAGCAAGAGGGCAGCAAGAGAGGTGCGAGGGAGGGGAGGGCTGGCCGAGGCGGCCGTCTCCTCCAGTGAGGCCACCCGCAGGGGCGGCAGYGGCTCGGTGACACAGGCCACGTGGATACACTTGGGCAGATGTGCTCAGTTTGGGGCCCCTCACTAGATRAAGGTCTCCTCACTACAAGTACTGAGGTGCTGGAGCTTGTCCAGAGCAGGGCAAGGAAGATGGAGAAGCGCCTGGAGCACAGACCCCGCGAGGAGCGGCTGAGGGAGCTGGGGCTATTTAGTCTGGAGAAGAGGAGGCCCAGGGGAGAAGTTATCGCTCTCAGTAACTGCCTGAAAGGARGTTGTAGTGAGGCAGGGATTGATCTCTTCTCCAAAGTAACTACAGATAGAACAAGAGGGAATGGCTTCACGTTGCACCAGGGGAGTTTCAGGTTAGATATTAGGAAGAAATTCTACATGGCAAGAGTAGTYGAGCAGTGGAACAGGCTGCCCGGGGCAGTGGTGGAGTCACCGTCCCTCCAGAAACGTGTAGATGAGGCACCTAGGGACATGGTTTATCAGGCAGGGTGTTGAGAGGCTTACAGACGCAACGATCTTAAAGGGATTTTCCAACCATAAGGATTTTCCAACCATAAGGATTCAACGACTCGTTGGCTCTGAGGCTGTGGATCACACTGAAGAGGCAGAAATCCCCGCAGGCTGCGGGAGCCACACTGCCCTGCTTTGGGAGCTCAGAGACCCAAGTGCCGGGCTTGGCCAGCAGGACTTGCACACCCTCCCTGGCGCTGCCATAAAAAAAAAAAAAAAAAAAAAAAAAAAAAAAAAAAAAAAAAACAGAGAAAGCAGGAGTGTGGGGCAGTAGTAAATAACTAACTACATAAGCGTATACATAAATAAAAGCCTCTCTTCCCGCTGCTGCTAGCCCCTTCTCCCGCGCGGTCGCGGGGCCGGCTCCGCTCCGCGGCACCCGCCATCTTAGGGCGAGCCCCGCGGCGCCCCCATGGCGGCGGGGCCGCCGGCAGCCACAGGCAGCGGAGCCGCCAGTCCGACACGACCCGGCCGGGACCGGCAGCCCGACACGACACGACACGGCCGCGGGGGCGGCGCGGCGGGCAGGGAGGCGGCGCCGCGCCGGGAAGGGGCCGGGCCGGGCCGGGCCGGTGGAGCCCGTGGCGGTGTCGGAGGCGCCGCGGTCCCGCCATGGTGCTGCTGGTGGTCATGGGCGTGAGCGGCTCGGGCAAGTAGGTAGCGCGGGCGGGCGGGCGGCCCTGGGGGTGCCGCGCGTCGGGCCCCGCGGGCGCCCTGCTGCCCGGCTGGCGTTCTTGATGTGCGGGTGGCTTTTATAAGGTTAATTATTAACCGTGCTGGGGTTACGAGGAGGCACGCTGGCGGTTTGGAAATGTTGGTGTGTGTGGTGCAGCCAAGCRCCGTGTTTTCCTCTTTGACACCTGGAAGAAGAGCTGGGGGATGTTGGAGCTGGGGGATGTTGGTGGCCATGGGCGGTTGTACGGAGTGGGCGGGAGGGAGGGTGGCTCATCTCCCTGAGGAAAGGGGCTTTAAGGTGATAAATATCTAACAGACTTGCTGTGTTCGCTTGCAGAACCACGGTGGGGTCCCGCCTGGCAGCCAAGGTAGGCTTGTGTCAGCGTCCAGCTGTGGGGTGTCCCTTGCCATTCACTTACTGATCTATTTAATTATTTGTTTATATAAGTTGATTTTTTTCTTGCTACCCTGGCAGCCTGTAGTCACAAACAGCTGGTATTAGCACATGGCACAACAAATATCAGGTCAGTTTGCCTTCTCACTAAGTCAGGATCAAGTGCAGCATAGCCTAAACGTACGTGAACAGCAACAACTGTTATGCATCACCTCTTTCTGCTTCTTGGTAATCTTACTTTGTGGTTACAGCAAGCATCATTGCATAAATGGTGATTCATACCGTGCAAGAGGCGTGTGATTCTTTAGGTGTCTTGATACAGTCTGAGATTCTTATTTGCTAATCGGGTTTAGGGGAATGATCCCTAATTCCTTTATTTTTTCCCCACCACACTTAGTTGGGATGGAAGTTCTACGATGCAGATGATTATCATTCTCCAGAGAATAAAAAGAAGATGGCAGAAGGAATACCCCTAAATGATGAGGTAACTTTGTATAAATCCTGGCAGAATGGCCATCAACACACTTTTCTTTATGCGCCTTATGTAAGGTGGACTGACTTTAAACATGTTAAACCTGCAGGACTGTAGCTGGGTAGAGAGGGAGGATTATATTTGATAGTTCTCAGGTAGTTAAGCTCTGAATCAGCATCTGTTAGAAATCTCTGCCTCTTAGTCAATATACAAAACCCTGCGTTTAGAAAACATGTTTTACGTAGAGTTAAATACATTAGTCAGATGAACTTTTTGCTCTTGGATGTACATCTCACCACTTGTAGTTGCTACTGTAATTTTTCCATAATCTTCCATTTTTATGATCCTACTTAAAAGGAGATTCATTTATTTTAGACTGCTATTCAACCCAAAACAGATTGATCAAGCTTACATGTATAAATAATCCTTACAAAGGCAGGATCAAGCAAATTACTCACATTACAGGGAGACACCATTGAACTTTTTCTGGGAGATGCCTTGGAAACACAAGTCTGAAGAGTTTTCTTCAAAATACTAGCTATGGACCAAAAAATATTCTAGTTTTGCATAAGTAGTTTTTATCTTTTTTAGTGGTTAGGAGGAGTATAAAGGAGTATCTCTTTTAAAACAGCATGGCACAACTGACTAAACCATTTTTCATTGGCATGTGGGGCCAAGCGGGAAGGAAGTAGCTCTTCTTGACATATCAGCAATGCAAAATTTTAGGGCCTTCTTGAATAGTGAGGGAGTTGTTCCATAATTACAGTCACAAAAAAAAAGTTGCAATTTTTTTTCACACTGTCATTCCATTCATCCTGCAGTAAGTGCACTGAAAGATGAAACGGGAGCAAAGGCTTAATGGTTGTACATGTGAAGAAAGATACTAAGAGTTTAAAGATCAACATTAGATGATTAGGATATCGTAACAGATCAGTCACTTGCGTTGTATTTCCAAATTGTATTAAGCAAAGATGTTGCAAAATATTGCTGTGATTTTATATAACTAATATATATATATTTATATATTTATATATTTATATAACTAATCTATTGCAGGTGTTGACACCTTGGAGTAGTTCCTGAAGCCTCAGTTTTGATCCAAAGCATAACCTGAGTATCCAAAAGTGCAGAGAAAAAGAAATAACAATTCAGTCTATGTAAGCAGATGCCTTAGGACAGATTTAATATTTGAATTGTCTGGTAGAGGCAATGAATAATTTGATTGTTCTTCAAAGATTTACAAGGCACATGCTATGTATATTAGTGCCATAAGATAATTCTAGATATTTGCAATATAAGTACTATTCCACTTAAAGCATCTTACTGTTAACAGGATGTGCTAGGCTTTTTAAGCTTTATGCAGTGACAACAGAGATACAGAATCAAACTTGCTCCACATTATAATACTAATTCTCATTTCTAGTCAGGTATTCTAAATGATAAAATGATTATTTCAAATTTCATAAATAATTTTGTTTCCTACGTAGGATAGGATTCCATGGCTTTGTGCACTGCATGATGTACTAAGGAGGTAAGAGAACCTCTACCTTTGATGAGTTCCAACTGAACAAAGCAAAGTGGTTTTCCTATTGTATTCAAAAGCGGAAAGTTATGTAGTATAAAAATACAGTTAGTAAAGCCATTCTGTTTTTACCTATTAGAGGTGTCATAATAAGGATAAGTGTTAACTGCTGAATAACAATATTGGGAATGCTGTTGACAATGATAGTTACGTTCTACTGTGTGTGTATTAAGAACTTATTTTTGAAAACTGGATCTTGGAAATTTTAAGTGTGACATTGCATACCTAAGAACTAGGTCTGAATACATTTTCTGAAATCTCATTAGTTTCAGTCAAGTACAGTTCAAAAATGATTGGTAAACAGATTCGATTTTGTGTTTGCCAATGCTTATATCTTTAGAAGTGTTTATTTTCAGAAATTTAAATCAGTTGACCAATTCATCATTCAACCTTAAAGTTTATTAATTAAAATATACTTCCTAGTCTTGCCTCAGATAATCAGAAATAGGCAAAACAAAGTAAGTTTTATGAAACTTGGAAGTGAGAAGAATTAAACATGTAGCTTTAAGCTCAAATACTTTGTTTTTCACTCTGTTTTAATTTGGTACATTATACTTAATCACCTAGCAAGCCTCCTTCATTAAAGAGGAATAAGTAGCAAGTTCCAAACAATTTGAGGATTCTCAAAAATGATGATTTGTTGTTCTGCATTCTTGGCCACCTGTCTCCAATACCAGGCCTTGATGTTTCAAGTAGGTGGACAGTAGGACAGATCTTGTGAGTTCCATCTGAGACATCTAAAAATGTCATCAGGCTGATGAACTCCTGGGCCTCAACCCCTGGGGAACTGGATCCCCGTTCTGGCAAATCTAGAATCTGAAACTAAGGGAGACTCCAAAGGGAAGGTTCAGACTGGCGAAACACCTTCTAAACACCTTGGAACTGGACGCCTGGCACGGCTAGTTAGAGCGGTGACTCATCCCACTCCTGCTGTCCTGTCCCAGCTGCGTTTCTGTGCTGGGTGCTTCGCTTCACCTGGTCACACACGTAGCTCAAGCAGAAAGAGGAGGATCGCAGCTGAAAAGCGCCCGTTCCTCTTAGATGCTCTGTTAGATTGTGTTGCCTCTTGGATCCTGGGCTCCCATTAGCGACATGGGAAAGGAGGAGGAAGGAGAAACACGTCACCCATGCTGTGGCATTGCTCAATCCCACGTTTCCCCATGCACCACCTTGCTTACAAACGTAATCTCAACGTGTTTTTCTGACAAAACTTCTCATCTAGCCCTGCTTCCCCTGTATCTCCTGCTCCCCCAGTGCCTCTTTACTGGGGCTTCACTCAGGCTGTTATTGTGCATGCCCGTCACGAGTGCCTTGTTAGAGCGTGGGTTCATTACTGAGAAATGTATCTGCTGTGTTGGGACACGATCCAGCTTTCTGTGGCACGCAGGCCTAGGGCAGCTCCAGGAAATTTGCAATACCGAATGCTTTCTGCGCTTTAATGCAATACACGCTGTAATGGTGCCTCATGCCAAGGTATAATTACTTTAAAGTAGTTGAGGCTGGCATGGGCTCACCTAGCTGATAGTACTACATATTGTAAGTTCTCATTTGCTTGTTTCAAGAATGTGCATTGTTGTTAAATATACCTCATTTTAATTTGATTAGAGAATGTACTTYCCTGTGCCAGACATTTCACTCACCTGGATTCGTTCAGCAGGCATTTCTGTCCYGAGAGATACATACCATCGTTTTTAGATCATGGACAGGAGCTTCTAAGGATATTTAGTCACAGTTTTTTTCAGCAGTTAAGGAAATGCCTCTGACACTTCTTTGCACAATATTCTCGTCAAAAGAATGGGAGCTAATACAGAAGTGTCCTAAGATAGAGATTTTAGTAGGAGACAGGCTATCTTGGTCATACTTTCAAACCAGGTCCTTAACATTCATTATCAAATTGATTTCAAAATTATGTCAGAATAGCAAAAAAGTGTCAGTACAGCTAAGGGTCTTCTCTGCAAGGAACCAGGGGCTGCCCACCGTAAGGGCTGTATGGAGTAGCTGCTGCTTTAATATACCAAGGGTTTTGATTTTTTTTTTTTCCTTCCTTCTCGATAGAGAAGAAGCATCTAGACAAGATGCAGTTCTGGCCTGTTCTGCGCTGAAGAAAATATATAGATGTGTATTAGTCAGTGGAGCATCAGCACTTGCAAGCAATGAGACAGAGAGGCCAGGAGGAAACATAGCACTGAAGATCCTCTTTGTGCATTTGGATGGGCCTATAGACGTCATTGCTCGTCGACTGGAGAAGAGGAGAGGACATTTTATGCCACCTGAATTACTTAAATCTCAGTTTGAAACCCTGGAGCCTCCTAGAGCACCAGAAAACTGCATTACAGTCAGTATAGAAAAATCTCTTCCCGAAATAGTGCTGGAAATTGAGCACGCTATTTTTTCAGAATGAGGCATTTTCAGAGTTGTTTCTAAGTTATATATACAGAGGCTCTCTCAAGCAGGTAAGAGTTGTAAAACAGCATTTTGATTATTTTCTTAAGGCGATACACAAAACAGAACTCTGAAAGCTCTGGGAAAAACAATGGAAGGGGCATCATATTGGCTTTGAATTGGCATCGTCTTGTGCAGAGTGCACACACTGATAAAGGCGGCTGTAGCGAGTCAGCCAGGAAAGGAATGTACCGAGCATAGGATTGTTGGACATTTAAAAAAAAAAAAAAAAACTAACTTCCATTCTTTCAGCATTGGACCTTCTTTCACTTCTCTTTTTTGGTGTGCTTTATTCTTACAGCTAAGCCTGTGTTATGCCCAGTCTGCTTATAAATAGGCTTTCTTACAGCTATGAGATCAAACCATTTCTAATATATTTCTTCTCTATATAGTCACGGAATTTAAGGTTTAACCCTTTTTATTTTTGCCATTTTTTTTTCCTGTTATAGAAGAGATGCCTCTTACCTGCAAAGTTTTCACGACGTTACATTAATTTCCCTTGGAAGGATTCCACAAGTTAGATTGAACGGAATCTGCCCTGCGTACAATTGCAGACAGATTATTAGTTCTAAGCATTCTCTGGCAAATTTATGACTTTYGTTTTTTTAGAGGATTAGTTAATTGCTTTTTGAATAAAACCTGTGAGTTGAAGTGCTTTTGGAGTAGTTCTTATCTGGGTAACTAGCTGAAAGATGTTCATCTTGCTTCTCAGTTTGCAGTGTTAAGAGATTTAGATCTGTTTAGATCTATTTCAGTCTATTTGGAAATCTATTTAGAATAGATTTAGATGCACACATACACACACACACACGAGAGAAGTGGTCTTAGGAATTCCTGTTTGTTTCAGCTGGGGGAAAAGGGGCCAGCAATGAACAGTGTGTGCATCTCGAAATCACAGAATCACAGAATATTCAAGGTTGGAAGGGACCTCTAGAGATCRTCTAGTCCAACCTTCCTGCTCAAGCAGGCACACCTAGAGCATGTGGCACAGGGTGGCATCCAGGTGGGTTTTGAAGACCTCCAGAGTAGGAGACTCCACAGCCTCCCTGGGCAGCCTGTTCCACTGCTCTGTCACCCTCACAGTAAAGAAGTTCCTCCTCACCTGGAGACGGAACTTCTTATGCTTCAGCTTGTGGCCATTACCCCTCGTCCTATCGCTGGCCACCAGTGGATGTTCTGCATGTTCTGTACAGCAGTTCTGGGGAAAAAAACCCTCATGCTTCACCCTGAGTGGATTTTTGCACAGTCATGGTTGTCCTGAGGAACAGCCACGGCCCAGGCAGAAGGCTCTGGGGCAAAGTCTACTGAAAGTGAATCGTGAAACTGAAGTGACTGTTGATCAGAGCTGTAAAGTAAGTTTAGACRCTATGAAAATAAAAGAAATGGCACCCTCTTGTGGCACTGTCATCTTTAATGAAGTCTCTGTATTTTCTCATTATGACATTTTCTAAGAGCAGAGCATTGTGCATATGTCCACTCTTAAATGCAGATTTACATGCACTTTTTCTGGRTACAGTAACACGGAAGAACACAGAGCAGTGATGGGAAAGCACCTGCATGCTGCCACAGAACAGAGTATCAAGCAAGAAGAGTCCATCTCTGCCCCTTGTACCTAAGGGACTAGGTACAAAGAACTAAGAAAGGAACTTCCAAGCTTTTAAGAAAGCTTTTAACTTTTTTTTTTTAAACTTTTTTAATTTTCAACTTTTAAGAAAGGAACTTTTAAGCAGGAGAGCCTGGAAAGCTCCACTCTACCCGCACAGCACAGCAGAGCCTGTGCAGATCTCTGCGTTGGTACCATGCTCACGAACTGCCTGGCACCATCAGGAAATCCCTCTCGACTGGGAGCCTGTTGAGGCACCAGGGACTTGTAAGTCCCTCTTTTCTAAACAGAATAATCCATTCTTACTACAGACTTCTCATATTTTATTCCTTCAGATTCAGCCTTCCCTCAAATTTGATAGGACTTATTAYGAGTCTTTCACACTTTGAATGTGATTGCCTTTTGCTTGAGCTTAATGCGAAACATACTAGTTCAAATGCTGATGATAGGAAAACAGCAAATCAACCATTTAAATGATATGCCATTAAGTTTATGGATCACAGCTGCAGATTTCACTATTGCTAAGTAAGTAATTCACTACTTCAGCCTGCTATATCTTCTCTGTGCTTGAATGTCTTAACATCCACTTACGTACTTCTTCTGTTAAAGAGACCTTTGTACTTTGATTTTCTAATCTCCACAATAGTCAAAGGCATGGGTCAGGTTTTGTTGTGCCTAAGCCAGCGAAATGTTGCTCAGTTAACATTCGTGAGAGCTTTGGATTTCTAAAGGGAGCTGACAAATGATTGAACAGAGCAGGATGTTGAAAATACGACTTTTTTTTTTTCTCCATGAAACTGATCTGAAAATAAAGCCAAAAGCTTCTTACCGTTATCCTTAACTGGAGATGGGAAGAAGTTACCCCTACCTTTAAATCTCAGGGAATCAAAGTTAAAACCAAAGAATAGCAGAACCTTCCTTTGAACAAAAGCAACACAAAAAACCTTTGCTCTCAGGAAGGATGAGAAAGTCACCCATGCATGACAACGTTCAATGCCTGCTTTTCCTCCAAGCTCCTCTTTTTGTGTTATTGGTTTTCATTTATGAGAGGAAGTTTGTGTGACTCTTTGGAATCAACTTCTCCTTGGTTCCGAGGGCTGATTTACTTTTGCCGATAGGTCAGGCACTAGGATTACCGCTCTCCTCCTTGGCCGTTCCCCACGTTTTTGGCGTGTTGCAGTTTCTAATACACCATGTTCCAAAGCTGCAGTCGCTTGCAGGGGTGGTTGCCATTTTCCCACCACAGGAAGAGCCTGTCTGGCAGCTGCAGCCCTGCTCATGTGCAGGAGAACTGGGAGAACTGCATTTCCAAGGGACACACGTGGATTGCCCCGCCRCTACAACTGGAGAACCCAGAAAGTGCCTATAAAAAGTGCCTATCAACTCAGCCTGTTAAACAGTCCATCAACMACTGCTCTGAAAGAGTCTTGGGCTTTCAGAATCACCTCTCCTGTTTATCATGAACAGCAACAAGAAAAGATGCTAGTCATCCAAAAGCATATTCTGCAAGCACTTGGTTTACTTCAGTTTTCTCCTTTAAATGAACTTTCACTGTATTAGCAATATCCTGCTGCAATTTGGTTACTCGTCCAGGTCATTCTTTCTTAGTTGCTGTGCAGCAAGTTGTCTGTGTTTTGGATCGCAGTTCCAGCAGTGAAGGCCCTGCAGAAGCTAGGGAGGATGCGCCTGGGATGAGAAGCAGCCTTGCCGTGGCCTGCACGGACGGGGCTCAGCGCAGCGCCCGGCTGCCCTTTGCACCGTGCAGCGCTGCCCCTGCTGCAACGCAGGAACGAGGCAGTAACCACGTCACAGGGCTGTGCTGAGGAAATCAAGACGAAGTGCTGATTCCCAATAATGGCAATGACTAAGCACAGGACACGTGAGAAGCGTGGAGTCGTCATCGCTGACTGCACGCTGTAATTAGACGAACAAAGGAACCAACGCCTCTGCCCAGATCTCTGCTCTGAAGGGATGGTGCTAATCCCCTATGCAGACATCCCAACAGGAAGAGAATTAACCAAAACATTTACAAAACTAGCCATCCCCAGGCATTTTCCAGGTTTGATGTGCCTGGAGAAGGCATTTCTTTTTGCAGGTCGCTTTCTTTAGCAGCAGTGTGATGACGTAAGGACTCAGGCAAGGCAGTTTTTAACATAATCCTGTGAGGGCCGTTAGTTCAACTTGGGAAGCAAAAGAGGGAAGCAGGGAAATAAAGCTCCAGGCCTTGGGCACATGGTCTCTGCTGACTGGTCAGCAGAGGTGACTGCTCAGAGCCAGCTCTGAGATGATTTCTGCAGGAACGGGTAGATGAAACTTCCAGRAGAGAGAAGGCTAAAGACATAAATGAGAAGGGGACAGCAAGTATCTGCTCAGAGAAAAGGCAAACAGAAGGACAATTCTAACAGGCCATTAAACCACCGAGTGTCATCTTCTATTACTAGAGACAATGCATAGTTTTCTGCCTGGTGACCCTATTCCTCATGCTACCACCTTTAACGCTGCAACACTTTGTGACAAAAAATAAATTTCTTCCTAAGCAAAAGATGTCTCAATGTTTTAGTCACTTATTATGGGAAAACAAGGTGACAGGAGTTACTGAAACATTGATTATACCTCAAGAAGAAAATTTAGTTAAAGATTCACTGCAGAATTTAGATTAAACTTCATCTTTGCTTAACTGATCTTAAATACAGCATTTCTTCATTGGTGTGCAGCTTAAAAACTTAAACAGTTAAGCTGAATATTGTCTGAAAAGGATATTCATGCAGGCTATATTCAATGTTTTAGTGTCTTGGTACTACCTTGGTGATTTAAAATCACCATTTAAAAAACATTCCTTTTCCCCACCTCACCCTTGGGTCTTTTATTTGAGAGCTGATCTGTCAAAAAATAAACCTGAGTGTTAAAAAGACCAACCTGAATGATTCATGGGAGGTCTCACTTTTTGATGGGAGGTCTTTACAAAGTGTCAGGCCAGGTTAGTTACTTTGAAGAGCCCAAGACACAGTTATTCCCACAGTTATGAAAGTATCTAGAGAAACTACTTCCTACCACTTCCCCTTYGTAACCTCATCCTCAGTGCCACAAATACCACCTACCCAGAGAGAAGGCACTGTGAAGGCAGGTTCACTATCACTGATAAAGAAAAAATATCCCATCCAAATTACAACTAATTTAAGAGACTTTGATCATSTGAAACATAACCTACTGGGAGATTCTGTTTTGAGAGGTTTTTGTTTGTTTGATACCATGTTGCTGTATCTATGAGACTTTGATCCAGAGGCAGATGCCAGCCAGCAACGAGGTCGGGTTGAACTTTTCCCAGTGTCACCAGGAGCAGCATTTGATCAATTTACTTACTGCCAAAGCAGGAAACAAAGTTATCTGACAGCAAARACTTCTGAGAATACAACACAGTTGTTCCTTAGGAAATCTGCATGCTTGGTTTTGCCAGGAATTTCAACAACTACACTGCACTGAAAAGACAATGCATGCTGAACATCCTCTTTTTTTATCCCAATAAAATTTTGCTTCATTTAACCAACAACCAAATCAGGACTGGTAAGTTTACACTATTTGCAAACATTATTTTTCAGAGCAAACCAAATTTATATTTGAAACATCCAGAAGACTGCCCGCATTAACTGTTTAACACARTAGAGGTATTACATTAGAATATTCTCAAATACACTGACACCAGAGACCAAAAAAGGAATCATATACAGGCATCCACGAATAGACACAGCAGAATGTTTATTTCATTATCTCCACTTTATCTAAATCAATGCCCTTCAGTATCATTCTTCTGTATATTCAAGTATTGCTTACTGATCCTAGTCACAAAATGGCAAGTATCCCCAGAAATTACATGGAAAGGGCCAATCATTAAGATGATCACCGTGAATGCCACGTGATCATCAAGTGCAAACACACCGAGACAAGATGCTTAAAGATCTTTTAATTCATTTATTACCTGTGCACAAGAGAAGTAACTACCAATAAAAACTCAAAAGATATACAGTGTTTTTACATGGTGTTTAAAAGCAATTAGAGTATCTCATGACAATGACTGAGGGTGATGCTTCCAATTACAAATCATAATACATGTTAGAATCTCAATGGAA